AGTAACATGAAAAATTGTTCGCCAATCCTTAACTATAAATTTTTTGCAAATGTTTTTAATAAAAAGTAGTAACTTTTTAAAGTTTTCAGTAAAAAACCTTTAAAAAATCTATATTCCAAACTTATTAATACAGAATATAAATGTTTTTTGTAATATAAATTTTTTAAGAGTTTTTTACTAAATTCATATTAAAAAACATTTGCAAAAAATTTGTAATTAAGGGAGAAAAAAAAAGTTACCTGTTACTCGCAAATTTTGAATGAAGACAATTTGTTAAATTTCTTCTGCATGCAATTCAATAAATTTTTTTCATAGATCAAGTTATATTATAAGGTAAAAAAATCACGAGTAGACTATAACATCCGCTGATGACACTAATATTACATTGAATATATTTATATAATGGAGGTTTCATTATGCACGCGCACAGATTCCGTTAAATAAATACTAAGGCACATTTTAGTTTAATGACAGTCTCTATTTTTTATTAATGAATATGTATTTTCTTTATAAAACAAGACAAACTAGTATATAAAAACCTTTCATATTTCTATTCTCTCTAATTGTTTAAAGTTCGAATATGGATTGTATTTTGAAAGACAAAAGATTTCCTTTAAAAACTTTTAAATCTTGGGACTTTGCCGATGCTTTGCCGATGCGATGATCACAGAATTAGAAAAAACTTACGTTATTAAAATCAAATCTAAGTTATGTGATCTTCATCAAAATAAAATATAATCCTAAAACAATTGTGCCATAAGGGCAGCTACCCTACGGTTTATAAATAACACAAGTCATGTTAAAATATTTTAACATGTTACTATATTTAATTTAAGTTGATATATAAATAAAAATAAAAACATAGTTTAATAAATAAATTAAATTTGTTCTTAACAAAGATTACCTCATATTTATTCTTTTTTTATTTTATTAAGTTAAATTGCTTACAAACGAAGAAAAAAAAGAGCTTTTTTTTTTTTGTAATTATACGTAGAATGAAAATACTTTTGAGTTTGTTTATAAGTTAAGGAACTTAATTTTTAATAAACAAATTTTTACGAACGTTTATTATAAACAGATACGATTCAAATTATTAAATATACTTATATTATTTTAGTTGAGTATTTTTTTAAGTTTGCACGATTAAAGTTTTGCGGAGAAGTATTTGTTTTTTGTTTTAAGAATAATTAACAAAAGAGTTTGCATAATTAAGACTTTTATATTTAATTTAATTTTTTTTTAATTTCCTAAAATTTAAAAAAAAAAGATTTAATCGTTAAAAACGATATTTCTCTATAGCTCTGTTTCTTTGTGATTTGTTTAAAATGTAAAACATTTTTACAATAACATAAAAAATTTATGAATTAAATTTCTGGCGAACGCGTTCTAAACTATGTATCAAAAATATGCTAAAAGCAGACAAAACGTTTTTATATTTTTATATAACGCAAGTTGAAACGCTAACCAAGATAAATTTAAAAAAATATTCTTTCCTAAATTATTCTTTGCTAGTCAAAACAAAATTGCTGTTTAAATAATTAACATAGGTTTTTGTTTATCAATGTTAATATTTTTTGTTTACTCCAGAAATTTTTAAAAATAAAAAAAAATCATTATTTATTATTCAATAACGATTTATAAACAATAACTATTCAAAAACAAATTTCAGAAATAATTAATATATATATATATATATATATATATATATATATATATATATATATATATATATATATATATATATATATATATATATATATATATAATATTACTAAATAATATTGAACTAAAATTAATAATAAGATAATAATTGAAAACATTACAAACTTTTTATTATAAATTTACATTTAAAACGTTTATAGTTATTTGAGTTAATTGTAAAATGAACTAGTTAGCGGTTATTTATTTATTACGGTAGTTAAAACACTTAATGTCTATAAAAAAAAATAAAGATAATTTTATGACGTCAAATATCGCGTTAAGCTAATGCATTAAGCACTTTTTTATTTAAAACAAGGCCTGTATCAGTAATACTTATTTAAGAATACTTTGCAACACTTTTAGACTAAAAAAATGCATATAAATGCAGCCGTAACAATTAAAAACTTGTTTTTAAAAAAATTTTGCAGCTGTAATAATCAATTATTTAATTATTTAATTTAAAAAAAATAATAGCATTAAACAAAAAAATAATATTACTTTTTAAAAACAGTGAAAAATAATTGACTAAATTATTTAAAATTTAAAAAAAATAACAGAAAATATTAAACAAAATTAAAAAAAGTAATAATATATAAAATAAAAAATAATTTGTACTAAACATTAGACTAACGTCATTATCAAAGGCGCCTAAATATGAAGTGTCTTGTGCTTTAGAATATATCTCTCTTTCAAGTGTTGATTGTAAACGACTAGTTTTTCTGACAAATGTTGGAGTAGGTTGAATAATGGAGTTGTAAACTTCAGGAACCCAAAATTGTGTGTCTCGAAGAACAGGTGTCTATAAAATTACAAAAAAAAGTAATATATAAATAGTTAGACATATACAAATAAACATATGAAAAAAAATTGTTGAAAGAAAAAAAATTTTGTTAAGTGATTTTCTACTATTTTATATATATATATATATATATATATATATATATATATATATATATATATATATATATATATATATATATATATATATATATATATATATATATATATTTACACAAGCCGATAAAACATCGAATTTATATCAATAAATCAAGACCAATAAATAAACTGCTCACAAACTCAATTACTACATCTTCTGAAAAATCACAGTAACAGATAAATAGCCTGATAAATATGGAGGGGAAAGTTATGTTAAAAAATCATGAGGCTTTTAGCAGAATCGAAATTAACACACCATCCAACTGCTTTATTACTTTAAAAGATCATAAAGACAACTTTTTAAACAAACCTACTATCCGATTTTTAATTTCAGCAAAAAATAAAATTAGAAGAATCAGTAAATTTATTTTATATGATGTCATTTCTGAGCTGAAAAATATTCTCATTCTTAACCAATGGAAAAGCACACAAAACGTTTTAGATTGGTTCAAAGGTATTAAAAACAAACATTTTTATAAACTTTTAATTTTTGACATAATTAATTTTTATCCTTCGATCAATGAAAATCTTTTGAATAATGGGATTAATTTTGCTGAGAAATATATAACCATTAAAAACGAAGATAAACTAATAATTAAACAAGCCTGAAAATCATTGTTGTTTAATAAAGAGCAACCTTGGATTAAAAAGAACAGTGGTTTGTTTGATGTTGCAATGGGTGCTTTTGACGGAGCAGAGGTATGTGAGCTTGTCAGAATTTTTCTTCTTTTTCAGCTATCCCAGCACTGTAACAAAACAGATTTTGGCTTAAAGCGAGACGATGGGTTAGTGGTTTTTTAAAAAAATGCAAGTGGCCACCTCATGGATGCAACAAAAAAACATATTATTCAAATTTTTTAAAAATAACAATCTTTCTATCTCTATACAATGTAACATGAAAGTTTTGAACTTTCTTGACATGACACTGAACCTCAATGATCAATCTTTCAGACCACTTAGTAAACCAAATGATGAACTAAGTTATATACATGTTGAATCCAATCAACCTCCTAACATTTTAAAGCAACTTACTCGTTCTATACAATTAAGGCTGTCAGCTAATTCATCTAATAAAAATATTTTTCAAAACTTGCCTGATGTGTATCAGGATACATTAAAAAAGTCTGGTTATAAATTCAAACTTAACTATATTCCAAAACTTATCTAACCTCCATCACAAAAACTTAAGCGCAATATAATGTGGTTTAACCCCCCATATAGTATAAATGTTTCTACTCTTTTTGAGTTTAATAGAAAAACACTTCCCAGTTATACTCTAAAGGTTACAGTTGTATACCAAACATCAAATCAATAGTTAACTCTCATAACTGAGGTGTTGTTTTTCATATAATGAAAAACAACACCTCAGATTCCAATAAACATTGCAATTCTATTAATAAAAGGAAGTGCCCTCTAAACCAAAAATGACTTGTAAATAACATAGTGTATCAAGCCACTTTGTACCCAGGCACTCTGGACAGAAATGAAAAAGTGTATTTTGGAGTGAGTGAAACCGCATTTAACCATACAAAATCTTTTAATATCAAAAAATATAAAAACAACACTGAAATATCTAAGGAAGTATGGAGGTTAAGTATGGAGGAAAAAGAAAGTGGAGTAAGCTCAACAATTGAATGGAAAATTGTAAAATGTTGTAGATCTTACAATCCCACAGTAAAATGTTGCAACCTTTGTTTATTTGAAAAGTATCTTATAATATCTTACACCGATAATAACTTATTATATAAGAGGAATGAATTAGTTTCTAAATGTAGACAATTAGGCAGCCGTTTATAGTTTTTTCTTTTTTTCTTTCTGTTTTTTGTTTTTATGACGATGGAGCACACTTCATTGAAACTCTATATTTTAACGGTTTTTTTATTTCTTGATTTTTTATTATATGGCCAATGATTGCCTTAAGGCATGAAACTATTAGTACCATAAAATATTGTATTTTCTTTGTTTATATATATATATATATATATATATATATATATATATATATATATATATATATATATATATATATATATATATATATATATATATATATATATATATATATATATACAGAGCCTTCAAGAGGGAGGGACAAAGGGGGCAAATTGCTTGAAGGGGTGCCAGACAATACGTTTCTTTTTTTTTTAGAATAAATAGAAAACATTTTAATGACTGACAATCTGAAATCTGCTAATTTTTTGCATTTGAGATTAAAACTTTAATATTTGGAATAAATTTAAAATAAAAACATGAAAAAATAATTTAAGTTTTATAATTATATAATAATAAACTAATTTTTACGAAAAAAAAATAGGATTTAGCTTTGTAGAATTAGATGTGTTCTGTAAGCCCATAAACATTTAGCAATGCTAGCTCATGTTTGATTGTAAGGAAGATTATGTGCTGTGGTAATAATAATGGTAACTCATCAAATTTTGCATTAAAGGAGTTGACACAGATAGCACTGAAAACTTCAATAGGTAGTGGTTTGCTTCAACTTCTTTAACTATAGGATAGTTGAAGATAACAAAACAGTTGTGTTCGATTTCACAATAAAAGCGCTGTTTTTTTTTAAGTAGTATTTGACTGTTGAAGCTAAAGAGAGAATCATAGCACTGCATTTTTCAGACATATAAGTGGCCTTGACTCTACTAGGACCCAGCCAGTTATCAAATATTTGAGTTTTTGCATCTTGGCTGCAATCAATATGGGTAATTTACTGTACTCAATATATTATTCAAAAGACTGTGAATCAGTGGGGGCTTAAACAATTTCCCTCAAGCTGAGCTTAATGAATTTCAAAGTGAATCATTAGTCAGAAAAAGGAACTTTATCTAACAGTGGAGAATGCAAGGTTCAACTTAACTTGGTAATAATTAATGCTAACCCTTCTTTTTTGGCAGTTGTTTTGAGTCAAAAAGATCAAGATGTAATTACTTTAAAGAGATCTCCAGCACAAAAGCAGTATTCAAAAGCAGCTAATTGTCCCTTTTTTGTTGAAACTGAGGAGCTAGAGATCAACGGAGGAAACTCATAAGTCGTGTGAAGCAGCATCAATGCAGCCCATTGCACTAAAGGTTCTACAATGGTTGGAAAGAGGCCTACATTCATCTTACCAGCTCCACTGGTAAATATTTAGAGCTCCAAAAGTGAATAAATTCTGAGACAGCTTTCCTGAGACAGAAAAAAGTGAATAAATTCTGAGACAGCTGACGGTTTTCCTGGCTTCTAAGGAATTTGTCTTTAGGGAATTTACTTTAGGTGTTTTCATTGACTTGACGAAAGCTTTAGATACTATTTATCACATAACTCTTTTAGTAAAAGTTGGAGTGGTACGGAATTACTGGAAATATATTAATTTGGTTAAAAAGTTACTTAAATAATCGAAAATAATTTGTTTATGCAGATGATAACATATCATCTAGTTTGTTAAATATTTCATGTGGAGTTCCTCAAGGATCCATATTAGGACCTCTTCTATTTCTAATATATATTAATGATCTACCAAAAGCTTCTAACCTAATGACAGTTATGTTTGCTGATGATTTTAACTTATTTCTTTCTCATTATAACATTTTTACACTTTTTAGCAACATAAATATTAAACTAGTCAAAATTTGCAATTATTTGTTGCTTGTTGATAAAAAAATTATTATATGTTTAAATTGAATTAGTTAAAATGAATTATTTAAAATGTTTTACTTTTTAAGTTTAAGAACTGTTCTATTGTAATTTTGTATGTTTATTTTTATTTTAATTTATAATATTATATTACGAACTTTATGTCAAAAAACGGTAATTTATATATTTTTGAAAATTATGGACATTATTGTTCGCATGAGTCAGCTCATGCTGACACAGACACAGTAATTTAATTGATGCAAGCTGTAAACACCATAACGAAAAGAAAAAATATTAAAAAAAAAAAATCTAATTTCTTCAATAGCGGTTTCTCTAAGTGGGATGTTACAATAATTTGTAACATCCCACTTAGAAAATGTATACAATAATTATATATAATGTATATAATAATTATAATTAACTTATTGTAATAATTACATAAATAATTAAAATTGATATTGAGAAAACTTTATAATGACAACATCAACAAGAAGGCTTCACAATGAGATCCCATTATTTCTTTCCGTCGTCTCAAAATGAGTTCACAAAAGAATATGGTGTTATCCAAAGTGCAGCTATCGAAGAAATTCAGGATGGTATCTACTTCACAACCATAGGTGATGGTGCCCCTAATATATCTCATACTGTGCAGATAACCTTTTTTATCCTTCTCTTTCTCCTCGATGAAAGAGAAATTAATTGCTGGAAAATTAAAGAACAATGTGTGGAAACCTTTAAGACGAAGAAAGGATTTGATATAGCTAAGCTTATCACTAATGTGATTTTAAGGCTATGTATGGATATTCAAAAATGTCATGGTTAAGGACACGATAACGCATCCAGTAGGTCAGATGCTTACAAGGGAGATCAGGGCTTGATATTGATAAATTATTCAGAAGCTCTGTACATTCCCTGTAGCGCTCACATTCGCTCTAATTTTGGCTGGTGTACTCGCAGTTGAATTAGCCATTGAGATCAAAGTATTTTTCAAAAGTGTTGATCTTGGAGCGTGTTTTTTAGTTCAAGCCTAACCCAATGGAAGATTCTTACTAATGCAACTGGAATTTTACTGCATAGACTTTCTCTGACAAGATAGAGATTTCATACCAACTTGAACAAACCACTTGCCAAGAGGCCAAGAGAAGTGTTGGCAGCTTTTAAACATATCATAAAAATCTGGATCTGACCAGTGAGCAGCTTGGCCAAACAAGAGATTTAAAAAAATGATTATTATCTTTTGAA